TTTCAAATCAATTTATATTAAATTAGACAATGGAAGTCCGAACTACTGTGACGTATCTACTTATCGATAGAAAATTATGTACTGTATATTTTACTTCCTACAACATTGAAAACGACAACGGCAGGTATGTTTTATGAAATTAAATTAATGGATGTAGCCGTTACTACGTGGTAGCGAATCATAATGAAGACCACTTTTATTCGTAACTAACGTCACTGCAGTTTCGTCCTATAAGGACATTTTCAAACTTATACATCAAACTAACAATGATTGATTACATTAGTTCTTATATAACATCATTGTAGCTACCAACAGAGGTATTTGCTTGATTGAGTACGCAATGCAAGGAAGGGTTGTAAACTCAATTATTTGGAATTGTTGGAAATTCACAAGCGTACAACCTGTTACATGATCAAATCGATTCAGTTTACTCACTGGTTTTCAAATTAGCATATCAACATAGTCACTAGTAAACAAAATTCAGGTACTCAATCAAGCCAAGTATCAATTTGCAATTCTTTTGAACTATAGTTCCACGAAACTGAAGTTTCACAGCTGGAAGTAAAAGTTATGGCTGAAACATTCAGAGTTGAACTCTCCATTAGACAATGGCTACCCAGTCCAGATAACTAAAGTTTGAATATTGTCTGATTGTAATAAAGTTTTAGGTAATTCATATCTGAATTTTTCCATCTATCTAAATCAGTGTTTCTCAAAGTAGAGTACGCGTACCACTGGGGGTACGCCATTGGGTCATAGGGGGTACGCGATAAAAACTAGAAAAGGTACTTCCCATGAATTGGTAATACTGAATATTGGATTCGAAATCCATTCATGATCACTACAGCTAGCATTAATGAAGATTTGAGCATTGAGCAACATGAATCATTGTTGGAAATGTCCGCAGATCAAACTGTTCATATTGATTTTAAAAAAATGTCTGATGGATTTTTGAGCGGCAAAAATCAAGAATATTCAAAGCTTTCCGCTACAGTTATGACGTATCTTCACATTACCAAACGCCCACTATGACAGGGAACATTAGCAGGATTAGTAATTATAATTATATTATTTAAGAACCTACTTATATTATCTTTTCAAATTCAATCAAATAAACAATTAATACTATTTTGAGTATTTCTTTTTGAATAAAATATTTTATTTGTTCTATTACCTAACGCTGATAATGTGTATTTATTGATTTTTTGAATAATTTTGTTTAAAGAGGTCTGCCGTGGTCTTGAAGGTCTAATAGGGTTACGTGGGACAATAAGTTTGAGAACCCCCAACTAGATCATCAGTAACTGACGTGGAAATGAAAATTCGATCATATGCACATAATATAGTGTACAAAAGGAAAACGGGGTTGTAAAGAAAAAAAAAACCATTAAATTTCTTGCTTCTTTATTAACTTTGACTTCAATTTACATATTTACAATATTTTATAACTAACCACATTTTCAGTCTAGGACTCAACTTTCAACTGTTATGACCTATGCCAATTTTTGAACTTACAGTTCGAATGCAAAATGAACTAAAAAAAAATTGTCATTTCTCAACATAACCATTTCCAGTTGTTTGACAACATAAAACTATTATAAATGAATTGATTCAGAAAATAATTTTCATTCAGAGCTATAATGGAGATAAAGAAAACTCATGAGTGTCATTTATAAAGAATCAAAACTTCATAACTGAACTTGAAAAAACTCACAGTATATAAACTATTATGATCCATTGAATGGCAATATAACTTTCTTATAGTCATCCTCAAATCCATCATTTGTTCACTTATTGAAATAGTGGTATTATCACCAATGAAGCACATTGCCAGAAAAATGACAACAAGACTTTTCAAGTCTTCATAACCAAGCAGTAAAGAGACAATATATTCCAAACTATTTTCTTCAATTTTTTAGATAGTATCAACTTTATAAAATACTTTTTTCAGTATTGTTTTGAATCAGAAACCTCTAGATGGCAAACTAAGATAAACACTCAGAATCTGATAAAATCAGAAATCTAATGAAATAAAGCACATGAACTACGTTTGTTAACCGATCATAGATGGTCGAAAGAGTTGTTGNTTGGAGATTGAGATGGCTTGAGGTATATCAAATTAAGAGTTTTCATTAATGTACCATTTATTTTTTTTATCTTATTTCGGAATTCTATATAATGATGGAAGAGTAGAAAGCTAAAAGTTTTTCCCCAAAAAAGAATCGCCCTTAGAAAATATTTCCTTTTCAATTCATTTTTTTTCAACGTTTTTCATCAGATATCTAAAGTAAAAATGTTTTGTAGTATACACTGCTTCATGTTACATGGATACCGAGAGTCAACAATTGATTTGCTGCTTTCCTAAAAATATTTTTCCTCGTTGACATATTGAAACAGAATCTCCATTTCAAAACATTTTTCCTATGGTCTAATCACTACCAGCTTCATCACTATCAGAATAAGCACCCAATAGAGAAAGACCACTAGCAGTTGGTGCTTTTACGGTTTCAACTAGTTGATCAGGTGTTTTTTCTGTGACTTCTTTGCTTTGTGTTGCTGTTTCCACAGATGTATTTATTGCCTTCGGCCTTACAATTCCAACGAGAGACTTATGCTTTTTAACTGCGACACTTGCTTTCCTATTGGCAATACTCCAACTGCTACTAGGGCCTGTATCAAAGGGTTGGTGTTCAGTTTTTTCTGAAGATGAATTTGCTGAGATTGCAGTCGATTCTCCTAGAGAGTCAGGATTTGGATCTTCACAGTCCTCTTCAATGTATTCCTCTTCTACTACAAGCTTCCTTTTCTGGCCAGAGTGAAACTTCACAGACCTACGATAATTAAATCAGATTATCAAACCGTGTCTGAAAACTGAGATACATACGTACTAGAAAATAAATGTTTATAATAATAATACATATTCCTCTTCCAACTACCTGCACCTTAGGTCCTGGTGAATGCTTGCCGAAAAACATCTACTTTCCTGACCAATACCACGCTGGATATTGAATCATATCCGACAGACATTCATGCAAGATATCTCACAGAGATTCTTCCCCGTTTGGAGCCGAACGAGATGGAGCTGTTACTAGGTTTTACACATGAAGTTGAGCCCTGTTGTAATTAATCGAGCCCCAGGCACTTTGCAGTACCTGGGGCACCTATAGACCTCGAAACCAGTCTATAGCTGATCTACTCGAATAAGTTCAGAATAGTCATGCTGCTAGATAAACGAGAAATATCTGCGAGTCTAACCTCTGTGAGGTATTTTGCATAAATGTCTGTCAGATATAATTCGAAGTCCGGCATAGTATTAGCCGGGAAAGTAGTTGTTTTCCAGCAGGCATTTACCAGAACCTACGGTGTAGGTAGTTGGAAAAGATGAATATTCTGAGATTTTATTTCGAAATATTTATTTTCTAAATGATTTTTGAACACTTTCAAGCACATCTATATCCACATATATGGAGTTGTTTTCAATTATTGATCTAACAATTGAAAAATATATGATTTTCAAGAAAGAGAGATAATTCCTCTGCAGATATAAGAGTGAAACCTAACATTCTTAGTCCTCTAGAAGTAACATTTGCAATAAGGAGTTTGAATGAGTTTTTTGGATCAGGAGTGATTCCTGAATCGTTGATTGTATTTGTTGTTTTCAGTTCTGATTGCTTAATTTTGTATGGACTATTCTTGGGATTTTTGTAACGGAAAAAAGTAAATTTATGACATCTGTCTATATTTAATTGCAATAAGTTTATATCACACCAGTGTAGAATTTGCTATTGTACTGTGTGAAAAACATATTTTTATTTGTTGTCCCAGTTCTTGTACTGTAACTTTGCATTTGTATAAATGCAACAAGGTGCAACACTTACTTAATATATTCCTCATCAAGCTGTTGTAACTTTTCTTCCCTCTCCCTCTCACTGATAGTGTTGTTGTAACTTAACAACATTGTCTCATAATCTATAACCTGCTGCCTTTTGTTCAAGTCTTTCAGTTCCTCTAATGATTCTAAAAGTTCAATTTCATTCTTTGATTGTTTTGTACGGTTCTCTAGTAACTTCATGGGATTATTGGCTTCTTCTTCCTTGGCTTCCTCCTCTTCTCTTTGGGCTTGTTCTTCAGCAAGTTTAAGTGCCATGAAATTACGAGTTGCACCAGCTTCAATTTCGTAATCAGTATTCTTTGGGTCCGTTTTGAAAGATATTTCTTGCAAGCATCGTGTACACTACGAACAAATTTCAAGTTGAATGTTAACTTTATTTGATATACCTCAAGCTGCCTCAACCACTCAATCAATATATGCTTTATTGACAAAGATGAACTCTCAACTGACTTGAAAATTGAATGTATTGGGATTATCAAAATTTCATTGAATTTACAAATAAAACGTCGACTCGTTAAGATCAGTGTGTAATATTCATTTCTACTGAGTAAGCTACTGTGTTAGCCAAACACGTCTAGAAATTAAAATGTTTGTGAAAATTATATAATTAGTATACCTTTATATAAAACCTGTATATTCTGATTCCCATATAATCCTGATTTTCCACATCTTCTTTCCTTGCATTGAACTTCTTTCCTTTATATATATATTCTCCACAGGTGGCACATCTCATATTGAATGGTGCCATCAATCTTACAGTGTATTGCCTATTTTTGGGCAATTTCATACGAGGGATTTTCGAAGGGTCAAAGTCAGGGGGGTAATATTTCTATAAAAGAGAAAACAATAATAATAGAGAATATAAAAAATGTGTTTATAAACTTACGTTCAAAACTTTTCGTTCGGACATCTTTTATGATTTGCGTAGAGAATGAGGCTAATTATGAATTTTTCTTACTTTCCTAACAATAATAACAAAACAGAACAATAAAACTGAATCTGAAGTTTAAATTTTAAGGTTATGTTACAAAATCAGCTTCTTCTTCTTCACCGGTAATAATAAATAGTATTCTTGGGCAATAGGTGAGTTTTGAATATGAATAAAATTAGTGGCCTAATTGTTGATCATTCAATAGGTAATTTGAATGTTTGCCCTTATTGATTTTCAGGTTGAATTTCTGTCCTTTATTTTCGATATGTAGTAGGTCGCAGACAGTATTGAAATCGGGGTTGTTCTCCAAAAGGTGGCACGCATAGATGGAATTGGTCTTCTTCATTTCAAAACTTCTTTTATGTTCAGAGATTCTTGTTTTAAAATTCATTGACGTCCTTCCTACATAAACTTTGGGTCATGGTCCGTATATGTTAGTTTGTAGACACCTGATTTGTCCTTGTCTATGTGTGACTTATGTTCTTTATATGTCTACCTAAGAAGTTATCAGTCTTATATGTTATGTTGATTTTATTTTTTACATAGTCCTTTCATGCAAGTATTATATTTTATGTGAGGGTATACTTGATTAATAGCTTGTTTGAAAAGTTTTTTTATCAAGAATGTGATGAATTACATTCGGGTTGAAGTTGTTATTCGCTGCAATATTTTATTAGATTGAAATTATTTGTTGATATTAGTATATTAATGAGTCTGTGGATCATACTGTGGTAAGCTGTTGATTTATGTTACTATGGGTGATTAGAATGGTTGTGTATAATTGTGTCTGTATAGGTGGTTTGTGGTGAATTGTGAAATCGTGTTTCTCGTTGATTTTGTAATTGTGAGATCTGAAAAGTTCACCGTGAGGAATGAATATTCCCCATGAATTTGGCATTAGGGGAACAACGAAATCCTGATTTTCAACGTGCAATTGGAAAACTGAAAAAAATATGTGTCTGTTCCTTATTCCTAAATCTGAATTAAATTGTATTGATATCGTTTCGTGTTTTTACTTTACTGCAAAGGATATTATCCCATTCAGACATTTGAAGTTTTTTTTTTATCATGAACAGTTTAGATCTCCCTCAAAAATTTGTCTTAAACGTATTAAGAAAATATTTTATTTGAGGTATATCTGAAATTGAATTCGGCCATGCGCTTTATAATCATTTCTGATAGACACGACCAGCTGTCATGTCATATTAGTCATATCATACGTCAAAGTGTTGTCAAACAGGCAAACCGGTCAAACACGTCATCCGTCAATAAGGTGGCCTGATAATTTTAGACTTCAAATAAAATTGAATCTCTCGCATAAAATATCAATAAAATAATATGTATCAGTGACACGCATAGCTTTGGTTGCGTTCAGAAAAAGTCTGAAGAAACTTCCAGAATGGGTATTACTTGGTAATGTGTTTTTGAATGTGCAGGTTAAATTTCATTTATTCCATAGGTTTGTTATTCAGTTATTTCAAGAGCCTGATAGGTTCCCGTGAAATGAGAATTTTAATATTAGGCTTGGACGGTGCTGGTAAAACGACAATATTATATAGACTGCAAGTAGGAGAAGTTGTAACTACAATACCTACCATAGGCTTCAATGTTGAGCAAGTTACTTACCAAAATCTGAAGTTCCAAGTTTGGGATTTGGGAGGTCAAACAAGTATTAGGTATGTTTTCTTTTCTGTGATAGAAGTTGATTAGTGTGTTATCATAATTAAAGTTATCAGTGCTCAGAGGTTGGTTCTGAATGGAAAAACCAAATTTAAGCATCATTCAAGATGTAAAAGATTTTGTCAGCTGATGTGGTTGTATAGGGGTAAATAGTTTTGTCTGCTGAACACGAATCTGAAGTGAAAACTTGGCGATCCTGTCTACTTTTGGAGATACCACTACTCAACAGTTGAAAAATTGACTATTCTGGCACTGATCACAATAGGCTACTTGCATATGGCGCTATTTTTGCTTTAATCTTAATAAAACCTTTCATGAAACAATAGTCATGATGTATTTGTTATGAAAATAGTTTTTTGTTAGCAAATATGTAGACATTTCATAAACACAAAGAGATACTACAATTGAAATTCTACAATAGGTCCTAGCAGAAATATTGAATACACCCTATAATTTCAACAAGAAGCCAGTTTTGAATCAATATGTTTTTATTATATTTTGTAAAAGATAAGTGAGATAATTTAATTTTGAGTAAAGTAACTCACAGTGGGCTTTCCAGTTTAGGTACAAACAAGATAGCTGAGGTCCCAGAACCGAGCCCTTAGCAAATTTATCTCAAATGTCCTAATTTCAAAATTACCCAGTTGTATACTTTCAATGACACATATTCCATCCTATTGATCAAAAAAGACTTCAACCACCATAAGTTATCTCTACTAATCACATAAATGTATAACTTTTCCAAAAGAATATTGTGATTGCAAAGTATCTCTTCTTTTTATATTGTTTGACAGTTTATTGAAGTCCTTATGAAATAATGAGTGTATGATCCTTGAAGGATCATAAACTTCTGAAGGATCTTTCAGAACCTTCAGAATTCAAACTTTAAATTTTTTCTGTGAGACATAAAAAACTGTTCATCTGAAACTACTTAAGGCTGCAACTATTTGAGTCACTCTAAAAACCTGAAACATATTGTACAAGAATATCTTGAAATATATTTATTCAAGTAGTTTACGAATTTTGATGTTGATAACCGACTTAGTTTAGTTTGCAAAAGATTAGATAACTTCAACCAAACCATTGTATTTCCAAACATTGCAAGCAACAAGGTTTTGTGAACACATTTGTCTTGACGAATAAAGGAATTAAGTTTGAGTTATTGTAAATTCAATTACCCTGCACTTTTTTTTTCAGGCCATATTGGAGGTGCTATTATAGCAATACAGATGCTATTATTTATGTGGTAGACTCTGCCGATAAAGAAAGAATAGGTATATCCAAAGATGAACTGGTTCCCATGCTAAGGGTGAGTGTTTTTAATTTTATACTGAAAAAAATTGTTACACTCTGTTTTGTTAAATTTAGTTTTGTGATATAATATTACATCTTACAAGTTGAATACAAGTTTTTAAAATTGATTAAACTATTGATCTTATCAATATGAATAGATAAATTTCCTGAAAATGGATGTATTTTGTTGGTACTAATATCATTCCAGATTGAATTATTTCCGCCAAAAGTTATTTACTATCCCTGATTATTCAAACAACATTGAGCAGAGATAAAGAATAACGTTGATGGAAAAAATTTGATCTGAATTGGGATCAATGTCAACAAGATGCATCTATAGTGAATGTCGATTCTATTCAGATTGTTTTTTATGATTTCAGGAAGAAGAGCTAGCAGATGCCATTCTTGTAGTCTTGGCCAACAAACAAGACATACCAGGGTGCATGTCTTTGAAGGAAGTGCACCAGGCACTAGGTTTAGAAGCCCTCAAAAATAGAACTTTTCAGATATTCAAGACATCAGCTACAAAAGGGGAAGGTCTAGATATGGCTATGGAATGGCTTGCCAATGCTTTGAAGAACCGTAAATAACACATTTTTTTTTCTAGTCCTGTAACCTGCTCCATCGTGATTTTGTCAAATCACGTTTCAAACATCAGAGAGTCGATGTTTGATTTAATGTATGTAAATTTAGAAAGTTATTCATTTTAGATGGAATATTTTATTTTTGTAAATGTAGTCGGGTAATTTCATTTGAGGGTTGCTGCTAGTTTCCAAATCATTATTTTTTTAAATGCATTAATTAACATTTGCTTGGTGAGCTGAAAAATTGCTCAATCCACCATATGAATTGACCTTGGATGTGCATTCATGTTGGTACCATTGGAATTCATTTGACAGTGTTGCCAACATTGGCACAGTTCAAAATCAGTTGATGAAAATATTCATACCAATGTATATGGTGTTGATTATTTATGTAACAAATATTTACATAAGACAGTAATATTTCAATGAATACAGATATTCTGAGCAGCAGCCGTTTCTCATCACTTTTGTTTATGCTCCATATGGAAAACTGGTCCGTCTACAAAAACCTCCACCTGACTATACATATTCTTTAGATGTCATTCCAATGCCTACTTCATATTTAGTATTATTTCGTGAATAATCAATTTGGAATCATAAATTGATGCTATAATGAATTTTGTACATTTCGATAGAATATAGATGTCAAATATAACTTATTTAAATATTTTATTTATCATTTGTCAACCCACTACCATAGAACTTCCTGAAGTTATTTTATGGGATATTTTAAAACCAGTTACTACTGTATGATGTGCAGTAGTTGGGAAAAATTTGAAAAAAACTCCAAGAAACCAAGAACAAAAGATGAGAAATAATGATTTGGTAAGCCTTCATCAGTTTCCATAATACTTGCAATTTGCAATTCTTTTAAAGTATAGTTCCACGAAACTGAAGTTTCACAGCTGAAAGTAAAAGTTACGGCTGAAACATTCAGAGTTGACCTCTCCATTAGACCATGGTTACCCAGTCCAGATAACTAAAGATTGACTTTTTTTTTCAACACAACATTTTATTAAAACAACGATAAAAATAAAATAAAAACAATGCTAGCATTAATGAAGATTTGAGCATTGAGCAACATGAATCATTGTTGGAAATGTCCGCAGATCAAACTGTTCATATTGATTTTAAAAAAATGTCTGATGGATTTTTGAGCGGCAAAAATCAAGAATATTCAAAGCTTTCCGCTACAGTTATGACGTATCTTCACATTACCAAACGCCCACTATGACAGGGAACATTAGCAGGATTAGTAATTATAATTATATTATTTAAGAACCTACTTATATTATTTTGAGTATTTCTTTTTGAATAAAATATTTTATTTGTTCTATTACCTAACGCTGATAATGTGTATTTATTGATTTTTTGAATAATTTTGTTTAAAGAGGTCTGCCGTGGTCTTGAAGGTCTAATAGGGTTACGTGGGACAATAAGTTTGAGAACCCCCAACTAGATCATCAGTAACTGACGTGGAAATGAAAATTCGATCATATGCACATAATATAGTGCACAAAAGGAAAACGGGGTTGTAAAGGAAAAAAAAACCATTAAATTTCTTGCTTCTTTATTAACTTTGACTTCAATTTACATATTTACAATATTTTATAACTAACCACATTTTCAGTCTAGGACTCAACTTTCAACTGTTATTATGACCTATGCCAATTTTTGAACTTACAGTTCGAATGCAAAATGAACTAAAAAAAAAAAATGTTATTTCTTAACATAACCATTTCCAGTTGTTTGACAACATAAAACTATTATAAATGAATTGATTCAGAAAATAATGGAAACATTTCAAGGTATCATTTATACATCCTTCAAGGAATAATTTTCATTCAGAGCTATAATGGAGATAAAGAAAACTCATGAGTGTCATTTATAAAGAATCAAAACTTCATTTCTGAACTTGAAAAACTCACAGTATATGAACTATTATGATCCATTGAATGGCAATATAACTTTCTTATAGTCATCCTCAAATCCATCATTTGTTCACTTATTAAAATAGTGGTATTATCACCAATGAAGCACATTGCCAGAAAAATGACAACAAGACTTTTCAAGTCTTCATAACCAAGCAGTAAAGAGACAATATATTCCAAACTATTTTCTTCAATTTTTTAGATAGTATCTACTTTATAAAATACTTTTTCAGTATTCTTTTGAATCAGAAACCTCTAGATGGCAAACTAAGATAAACACTCAGAATCTGATAAAATCAGAAATCTAATGAAATAAAGCACATGAACTACGTTTGTTAACCGATCATAGATGGTCGAAAGAGTTGTTGTAAAATTGTGCCTAGTTCAGCTGATGGTGCAGTCTAATTCCCCATGCTTGGGAAGACACTCTAGAGTAACAGCTACCGCTCTGGTCATGTAGGTCATAGTACCGTAGCAACCACTGGGCGCGCTGTCATAAAAGTGCTGGCATATGTATGCAGCTCCGCCACAGAGTAATCCGCCAGTTCTTGAAGTTTCTCTGAAATCTTTCGGTTTTGCACAGCAAAGTGTGGCGTCTCCTTCGCACTTCATCTGAAAATAATAAATTTGATGAATTTGTTGGAATTTCAACACCTATTATGTCAAAAACACGAAAAATATATTTTTGAATATTCGGAGGAGATAGTTAAAAAAGGGAAATATCAAAAAATTGAAAGAAACAAACAATGAGTATGAAATGACATAATATTCACAGTGAATTGCCATTTCTATATATGATGATGAAAAGAGCCGACAACAAGGGTTGGTTTTCACTATACAGAAAACCAACTAGAACAAGACAGTATCTGAAATAAGAATCCAACTACCACCAATGGAAAAGCCCTAATTGATAATGCATTCACTTTGTGTAATGCGGTGGAAAATCTTGAAAAGGAACTTGGCCAAATAAGAGGCCTTCAACTAATACCATTCTATTTTCCAGTCAGAGGACTAAGTTGGGTCCAACCACATGATTAGAACCTGTACAGATCCGGAAACACCAACGGTAGCAGCCTCACCAACACCCAGCCACCAAATGCGGACAAAAAATCGCACTTATATTTTTAATATAACCTTCACAACAACAATGTACTTCCAATTATGCAATCTGGTTTCAGACCAAACTATAGCTGTGCTACAGCTTTATTGAATATATTAGATGATATCGTCGCAGCATCGGATAGAGACGAAATCACTGTCCTACTATTGATCGACTTTAGCAAAGCTTTTGATACATTGAATCATCAACTACTTCGATCTATATTACATTATAATGGACTTTGTCAAAGCACTTTGAAATTTTTCGATTNATGTGTACCAACTGTTGGTGATGAAATATTTCATTTGTTGAAAACTCAATATACATATATATAATATAATGATACTATATCTTGAAAACAAGAGCTAATATATAATTTTTATGGTCACTTTCGGTTTTAACACGTGGAAATACATTAAAATCATCTAATTTCAACCCCGAAACAAAAACTTTGTTGTGTTGTGTTATCCACAGGAAGTAACAATGGTTTGAAAAAAGTTTATAGTTCAATGATGACACAATCCGCAATATATAGAAACCTCTACTTGCCCTATAGTCATGAAGTTTTAGGCATAGGCCAGGCCAGAAACGTTGTTAAGTAGTTTGGTTTGGAAACTTTTGTCATTATCTTTTCAATTTTCTTTTTCATCGTTTCTCTTTACATATCTGAATGTGAATTTACTATTTGTGTGTTATTGAAATTTTATTCATGTTCAACACACTTGTGGGTTGATTTCCTTTCAGATCACCACAGTTTGTTGTTTTTACAAATTAGCGGTTTTATATTTTGAATTTTGTACTCAATCGTCAATATTTTTCTCATTTTACAACTAACTAATCCGAAAATTTCAGTAATGGAATTTTTTATATTTCATCCATGTTTTTTTCCACAACTTTCCAATCTATTGACACTTTTTTTGGAGAAAAGTCCTAACGTCTTATCATTCTCGAACAAACCACTAATCAAAGTCTACTTTTACTCAGAATTTTTTCTTAGCTTGGTAACGTTTAGCACAACATCTTTTTCTTGACTGGCAAAGCGGAGAGAGGTAAATTGGGGACCTATAGTTTACGACTCGATTAAATTCAATTCAACAACTATTATCAAAACTTAATCATGTCTCAAATAAGGCTTGCCCCTGTTTAACCACATGACAGATTATCAATCAAATATAATTAATGTTGATAAGTGTGATTACCCAGTGTTCTATGTATTTCTATAAAAACTATTTTTCTTGGTGATCGTCTTCGAAATGGTTATCAATGTAACCATACAGAAGTTTAAGGTATAATCATTAAAGTCACGAATTTAGCTAAACATGTTTACTTGAAGATGATTAAATTAACAGCTCTGATTTACCACGCACTAGAAGCTGTGAAATATTTCAGGTAATCTAGGTCAAGTATGTCCAACTGTAATTCCAACGAAGTTCCATTGTATCCTTCTTAGAAAGCAACTTCAGAACAGATTTATGGAAATATTATTAAGATTTCACATCTTGAAAAAATTCTTCAAAATCTTACCTGATCATCTAGGAACAATTCATTGGCCTTATGCACCAAAAACTCCACTTGAATGATCCCACCAAGATTAGGAGCAATGTTATGTTCTGAAACCAATGTCAAAACCATCAAAGCCTCCACAATCAGTTGTCGGTATTCAGGTTGGGGTATTGTATTCAAAACGGTTTCGACTGCCAAGGCGAATTTCAGCTCTCCTGACGTCATTTCTTGTGTTAAGGTTTGAGGAAGAACTTTCCCTGCTATGTCGAGACCTTGACACTAAAATATTATTAAACTGGTCTAAAGTTTTCCCAATAAAACTTCTATTTGAGAGGAACTTTTTTTAATAAATGAGGTCTATTTATTGTGAACCAGTTTGGTTTTCGCAAGGGAATGTCCACAAGTCAAGCGATTACACAGTTCCTCAACAACGTGTACAGGGAGTTGAATGAAGGTAAAAAGGGATTTTCATAGACTTAAGTAAGGCATTTGATCTGGTAGATCACAAAATTCTCATAACAAAGCTAGAAATGTATGGAATCAGGGGAATAACTCACAAATGGTTTGTAAGTTACTTAGAGGGTAGATACTACTATGTTGAGGTTAGCAGAAATGTATCAGAATCTAAAAATTGTTCCCTCGGGGTTCCTCAGGGTTCTATATTAGGTCCACTCTCATATATACTAGTATGTTGAGGTTAGCAGAAATGTATCAGAATGTAAAAATTGTTCCCTCGGGGTTCCTCAGGGTTCTATATTAGGTCCACTCTCATATATAATTCATGTAAATGATTTTTATTGTGATAAGTTTGTTATGTATGCTGATGACACATCTTTATTGATAACTCAGGAAAATATTAAAGCCACAGTTAATAAAGCATCCGATGAAATAAAAAGAAAAGAAAAATGGTTCTCAGCCAAATGTATCTTGTTGAATGAAAGAAAAACTGTGCTTTTACGTTTTAATCATTCAAGAACCACTCCAGATCACAGTTTACTAGTAACGTCAATTAATTGAACAACAAGAGGAAACAAAATTTTTGGGTTTGGACATAACAGAAAATTTTAAATGGAACAAGCATATTGATACGATTTGTAAAAAGATATCCTCAATATCTTATTGTATTCAACAACTACGCTGGAACGTAAATAAATCACTCTTATTAATGTACTACCATGCATACTTTCATTGTAACATTTCCTATGGTATTATAGCTTGGAGAACATCTGGTGATTGTTCCAGAATACTCAAAATCATCTTCAGCGATGAGGATAATTTCTGGATGAATGTATATGTGAACACCAGAGCTGCAACAGTTTACTTCATCTCCTGAAGACGTCAATTTGGCTGGGGAAACGCGCGTCGCGAATAGTATTGCAGTTTTGGCGTTTGAGAAATATGCTTGTTTTGGATAAAAGATTCAAACTTTCAAATATAAACTGAACTCTATTGATTATAATAAAATAAAGATTGAAATTGGTATCACTACCTTGGAATATGTGTCTCAAATAAAGTATCTGGGAGTTATTGTAGACAACACTTTGAGTTTGAACTGTCATGCTGAATATGTTATAAAAAAAAAATCAAAAGAATTTTTTTTTCTAGGATAGCAAATAATTTGACTGTTAACTCCAGAATATTAAAATATATAATGCATTTAATAAACCAAAATAGGGTTTCCCAACTTCAAAAACTCCAACATAGGGGCATGAGAATTATCTTAAGATGCTGTCGTTATACTTCCATTGATCACATGTTAATTATGCTGCGACGGCTATCAATCTCAAATTGATTATTCTTTTTAACAATGGTTTTCATATTTAAAATAACCAAAAGTCTCCAACCAACATATTTTAATTTTTTGTTTTCAATAATCAAATACATAAAACACGAGACAAGATCTTATGATAATTTTCATATATATACAGAACTCACAATGGTGGGTATGAAAAACTTATTCTACAAGGCTCTACGGGAATTTAAAGATTTACCAAATGGCATTAAAGAGGCAAATATTGTAAGAAGGTTTGAAAGTAAATTATTGGAATATCTAGAGCTTTAGTTGGTTGGAAAATATGTATATATGTATGTGTGTGTTACTATATCAATATTTGTTTTTAACATTGGTTCTTATAAATTGTTTATCTTTTTTATTATTGTCTTTTATCTATTTTATCTTTATTATTGTTATTATCTATATACTTATTGGAATGTTATTGATATTTTTGGCACTGTGTGGAAATTTAAATTGTTATTAGTTATTATATCTTGTAAGATTGGGATATATCCTATAATAAAGATTACTACTACACCATTTCTCAGAAGGAGGGGTTCAAAAGAAGGTGCCTTAGATCTTACCGTAATAATTATCAATCAATAATTTATTTCAGTTACATTGTACAGTTTATTAGCCCTGAAATTAGTGAAAAAAAAAATGGTCAAAATATTGAGCCGCGTTTGTCAAGAAAAGTCTGTATAATAAACAATTCTGAATGGTAAGTATTATAATGAACAAAAGTAATTTTTTGTAGAGGAAAGTTTTCCATTACAATTTTTATTTATTCAGATTGCGAAAGGAGAATTTACCAACACTCGATCATTTATATGCCAATTCTTGAAGAAATTGAGGTGAAAAATTACGTACATTTTCAAGAATTTTGAACAGGTTTGAACAATTTTCAACCTGAATCATCCTGTTGACGAAATCACCCTGACGAAATCACCCTGACGAAATAAATTAATAATACATACCACTGCTTATAGCGAACTCCTTTCCGCTGATAATATGATGCAGCAAATTCTTCATTTCAAAAGGACTCAAGTTCAGTAGATGTTCCGATGCTTCATCTCCATCGCAAATGAGAGTTCTTGACAATTCCGTTGCCATAACTTGAATTATAAGTCCCACTCGCAGTCTCAGCATTTCCATGAACAGTTGTGGTTCCGTTCTGATGAACATGGCCAGATAGGAAAGCAGTTCTTGCGTCAACATAGCCGTACTGTCGTCTTCGCCGTAAGCTTCATGGATGAGCAGTCTCAGATCACTTTCGGGCAATGGAGCAGTGATGGTGTGCTCGTTATTGGGGGGCATACCGACCGTTATTTGTTTTTGCCGTACGAGTAAATCGGTAACAGATTTGGCAAGGTCTTCAACTCTCTTTCCCAACATCCCAGCCGAGTGCCTCACTAGGCCCCACATTTTTTGGAGGCAAGCTTTGGCGTAGAGACCCTTCAGGAGGTCTTTGACTGTGACTATTTTACCATTTTCCAGCATTCCAGTGTTGAAGTTCAAGCCTTGAGAGTCCACCAAATATTGGAGGATGTCACCCTGTTCGTCCAGAGAGTCCGATTCTCTCAGCATTGCAAACAGCTCCTCTACCTGGAATTAATAAGATAATATAATAATAATTTAACCAGAGATCAGTTCTTTTGCGGAACCTTGGTCAAAACTGTATATCACGATTCAATTTTGGTTATATGATGGACTTGGTGAAAATTCATAACGAATGCAAGTATTTTCCATCGACCGTGGTTACCCGAACCACCCGGCGTAAAGGGCGGCCCCTGACGTCACTTTTTTTAACCTTTCATTTATTACAGTATTTGACATAATGGAAAAATACATCACAAAACTTGAGAACGGACGTTATCGGCACCACGGCCACCTCGATATTCCAACAAATAACTTGAAAGAGGTTTATAGTTGATGGATTTTGTTTGGTTGATAACTGATATTATGCAATCCAGAGAATAGAAAAAAATCCCTGCCAGAATTTCTTACAAATTTAGATATTATCTGCCCAACAAAACAATTTATTTGTTTGCCGAATCTTTCAACTGCATTACTGATGATTTGATGTTGAATTCAAGAACTAGTTTGATTTGGTTGACATCATTGACAAACAACATCAGCCAGAACTCAAGTTAGTAATTCAAAGTAAATGGAACTGAGCGCGAATCGTGAACTCTACATAAATTTGAGCATTTCAAGTAACGACATAAACCATATTAAAAATTTAAAAAAATACTGTTTTTCATTCATCCTAACAATAGATGGTAATAATCACCCATGTATATATCACACTTGTTCTGAAGAAAGCAATAAACATTCCCGAGAGCTTGACAGATACCAAAGAATGGTCCCGTGCAACCCGTGGGTTGGGCTACCTATCGGGCGCGTCCCCAGGTGGCGGATAGGGGGCCGGCCATGGGACTGGAGGCCCTGTTCGGGAAGCCAATGTGGCCTTACGGACGGGGTCGCCGGACTCCTGGTCAGTGGCAGAAATAAGTAAGGCGAGGGGAACTAAAACTTCCCAGAAGCCTTTGCCAAACATGCCACCGTGGACCAGTCTACCCAGGGTGAAGGTGTAAGGAATCGTGCCGATAGTTGAATGGCCGCAGGGTGATATGCGGTCACGAACGATCCTCTTGGGGACTTGGACGAAACCTCATTGTAATCAGCCTACCTCTGATAATGCGGGTCTCTGCCAGAGGTGACCAACTCTTCCCTTGCTACTCGTGGGAACACACATGAAAGAAACAACACGAAAATAGAAATAACAAATACAAAAACAAATCCCGAGGCTGGACAGAAGTGCTCACCTCAATCTAAGGTGGTGACTGGAAATGAGCAGAAATGTCCACCCCAATCTACCGCTTGGAATGAGGCTGGATATAGCAGATCACCTCGTGATGTAATACAAAGGCCAAGGCGTAAGCGCATTTGCGGCACCGAAGCCAAAAGGAGAAAGAGAGCGAAATAGACAGGAGTGGCAGCAACTATAAGTGCACCCTCCTCCTCCTCCACTCCACCTCCAACAGCAAGGGCACTTCCTGCGGCGGACGCAAAGAGCTCCACCTTGAATAAAGGCAATGGACCGGCTGGCCCTGCAGGAAAGCTTCCTCACTTGTGCACCTCCACAAAGGGAACCCCAAGAAGGTTGAAGAAGCCGCGCAACGACAGTAATGTCGCTGCACCTTCCAAAACCTTCGCGGAGTCCACCGAGAGACACCTCAAGCTTGCCAAAGAGAGTGTGTGTTTGGCGAGTCTTGGTCTACACCTGCCAATATAAAAGAGATGTCTGTTAGTGACCTGTCCACCTTCCTGGACAGGACAGGATGGACGATGACCTAGGAAGACAACTCCTCGAGAGGATGTAGAATGGGTCATATGTGGCCTAAGTGCTGTGGGTCTACACTCACCCTCCCTACTCTACAGATACAGAGATAGAGCCCCGTGCAAAGAGGGCAACACCACTTGTTTGCCAAAAATAGGAAACAACACATGCGCATGGAGTCAACAACAGGAGCCAACCGCACATTTATGGTTTCAGTTAATAGATCTTGAGTTAACAAGAAAACCATCAAAATCACAACGGAGGCAGCTATGGCTTCCTGCGTGACATCCGGGTCCATGAAATAATACAAATATGAAGGTTACTGAGTGTCTTGATATAAGATACAGAAGTTAATAATCGGATGTAGCACTCAAAAAAGTGGCAAATCATAGAGACGTGTTTCGGACTTTTGGCCCATCATAAGTATGTTACAGCAAGTGTAAGGATGGGCAACACTTGGTTGCCAAAAGAAAGAAATACAAATGCACGGAGATTTTCTATTTGCTTCGAAAAACATTCTCTAATTTGCATTCGTTTACTAACACTTTTCTTATCCATCCTGTATTCAGGACCATTTACGTTTTTTAAGTTCTCTCTGTGAAGTTTTTATCCTGTCTACATTTTTCATTCGTCCAAGTTTTTTGTTAGCCAACTTTTTGTTATTATTTTTGTTGGATATATAGCTTATTTGCTATCCAAGGTATAAACCTTTAACGTCAATAATACATGTAAATCTTCATTTCCTCAGTAAATAGATTATATTCAAGGTGTTTGTACAATACAAAATTATTTTTTCTTACAGCATAGGTTTGGGTTTAAAAACGTTCCTCATCTAATAAAACATCAAAGGATACAAGTGATACAAGTGCAGATAATAATAAATTCATTATAATAAAAGTTTCCGAAAGTAGAAAATCATTATTCCTGCCCAAAAACACAAAAAATATTATATATAATAACAGACAAGTTTACTTGTCATTTGATAGAAATTGTTGGAATCCGTCATATCTAAAAACAATAATAAATGATAATGGAGAACATGAACGACGCATAACTATTTATCACTAGTTAAATCGAGCTTGGTCAATGCATTTTGAATGTCCTCAGTAGGTACTGTAGACTTCTTTACTGCTTTAAGACTATTCTTCCTTGAGAAGGAATTTTTTGCTGCGGGCAAAGAGTCTTTTCTCGGGCGATGAACACTTTGTTGTGAAACACTCTGTTTCCGTTGCGAGTATAACCTCTGAAAAACATTAGGTCCAGTTTTTTGTTTTGAATTCAACGGGGTCTCTTGAATATTAGAGCTGACATTGGGATCTGTTTTTCGGACCGGAATCAGGGAACCGTCACCTTTTCTATGTTGGATTCGTGTATTTGGGGTGATAGTGGCAGAATTTCCATTTTCAACTGTTTTCGCCATCCTACTTGAAGCGAAGACACCTACTTCTGAAGAACTCATTATGCGTCTTTTCTTCGCACTTTTCTGCTCACTTTCACAATTTCCGGAGTACTTTCTTTTTGTCGAAACTCCCGACACTTGAGTAGAGTTCACAGGTTCTGGAATTCGTGATCTGTTAGCACTAGGTTTCGCGAATTTTCTTTCAGGATGCATCTTCTGTGCTGACTCAAGCTTGTTTCTCGAAGTTAAATGTTCTTCGATGATTCTCCTCTGGTTTTGGCTTCTTGCTAGAAGTTCCAAGGTGTAGGAAATGATTTGTTGGTTTCGTGTATGATTGAGGTTTTCCATATTTACTTTACTTAATCCAATCATAACTTGTGATTGTAGTTCTCATATATTGACAGCCTAAACGGAATTTGGCAGGATGTCGCAGTTGCAAAGGGTGATTCATTAAGTTAGTGACCCCCTCCATTACTCATTGAAAGAGTGACAACTGAGCAAAGAAATCATATGAGTTTTTTCCAAACGTTTTCTGTGTTGCAAAAACATTCTCAGAAATGACTACTTTTTCTGAAGAATTTGAATTCTACCCAGAATTGAATGATGAACACAACTATCCTGGAAATCTGGATTTAAAATCGATACAAATTATTTTAAAAATTATGGATTGAGAATTTTGAATGAGATTAATGAAACTTTTCTTCAGATTCCTATATTCAATATAAATTTCTACAAAATAAATAAGTCATCAACCGAACAAGTTTTCTTCAGATAATTTCAAAGAGATATAAACACAATTTTCTGAAAATTTTCGGTCATAAGGGGTGTTCCGAGTACGTATGACAGATCTGAGTTATTTTTTAATGGAACAAACACCCTTTTGGTTTTAAAATATTCTCCAAAAACTAGTGTTGTCGAATTTCGTTTTTTTTTTATGTACCTACCATCTCCATTTCGAAAGATATAAAAAAGGCAGAGGAACTTCAGATAATGTTTCATATTTGTTATAGTCTGTTCAAAAAGAAATTTGCAATGCGACGTTCCGTTCATTAGATTTCATTTCCAACTTAATTTTTTTAAATACGGACGGACCTCTAGTTTTCTTCATCGATTTTGGTAGTCACTGTAATAACAAACTCGGCAATGTATTATAATACAGGTCCGTATTTAAAAATGAATTCGCATTGCAAATTGGTTTATATGAAAGTTCCTCTGCCTTTTTTTATATCGTTCGAAATGGAGGAGGAGGAGCCAAAAAAAACGAAAATCGACAATTCTAGTTTTTGGCAAACATTTCAAAAACAACTACTGATATTCTCGATCTGAAAAGAGATTATTCTACTTCCCTAAAATAGGAAACTTTTGTTTGATTTAACCGACATTGTAGGTCTTAACGTTTACGAAATAGCAATAGTGGCGTCAGCTAAAAATAAAAACGGCCTTTATATTTATTCTGATGAAATTGTGGACAGTGATGAACCAAAACTTGCTAAATCCATAGTCTAAAAGTTATAAAATTGAATTTGAAAATAGTAAAATATCAATGTTTTAGAAATATCAACTCAAGAATAGAAAACTGTTTTGTACGCACGCGAAAGCATATCAATTTGAAAGGCGAATATTTTCAAAAAAAGAGGAGTTGGATGAAAAAATATTTACGGTATCGTCCTATCACAAAATTACTTCAATTTGGGTAAAGCATCAAGTTGATGAAGTTAAAAACAACTTACTTCTGTTTCAGCGTACTGCGTCTCCGAAATATTCCTATGCCGAGTGATGCTGATATTTGGCAATTCCTTTCGTGATTCCCTTGGCGATTCCACACTTGATTTTTTTCTTTCGGGGGAAGGAGTTCTCAACTTATCTCTGTGAATGAAAGGGTTATCAACCTTGTCGATGGAGCTTGCCGAGAAAAACATGGATCCTCTTCTTTCCAAACTTTCGTTGCTTTCCATACCCAAAGTATCAGCTATAAATGGAACGTGATCATTCGAATAGAGAAATGGTTTTACTGTAGGTATTTATTAAACTGTAGTCTTAAACAAATTTTGCATACAAGGTGTCACAAAGTCCGTGATTTGATCTATCTGAGGACCAAAAATAATTTGTAGCACAGAGAAACATGTGAATCAGATTTGTCAAAAATTTATGAAACAATTGTGCCTGTCACATCCTTGACACAGCGTACCCAGCGAGGGGCAGGAGGGCAGCTGCTCTCCATGGTGTTATACATGAAGTTTAAACACAGTGCAAGGGATGTTTTAAAAGTTTTAGGAATCCAGCTCTACTTTAACTGGGTCAGACACATTTTGACATATTTGCAATTGTGCTTTTGCTTTGCAAGCTTACAATAATCAACACAAAATATTATTCTTTCATCTGAACCATTCTGTAGCAGTATTTCTTGCTGCAACAGAACAATGCAAGACTACATGCAACATGAAAAATTAAAGAATTTTTCAACGATTTGCAGTAGTAATTGCTTCCAGCTTCCACCTACAACTTTTACTCATGAAATCTAAACAAAACGAATATTAGTTTGCATCAAACATAATTAATCATTGAATTAAATGAAGTTTATATTAAAAAAACATTTCTAATTTGTAAAACTAGTTTTGTAAAACTGATTTGTAAATTAGTTTCAATATGGATTTTCATCAAGTATCGGCCAGTTCTATTAAATTTCTAATTTGTAACCAAATTCCTACAACTTTTGGAACAACTCTCGTAATATTACTAACCTTTCTCGTCAATATAAGTTGGAAAATATGATCCAGGAAAAATATATAGTGCCGCTTGAATGTAAAAAAATATTTAAAGGTAACCATAATCACTAGAAAACGGTTTTTCTTTTTTCTTCAAATTACACAACAAGACTTTCAACTTTTACACTTCATGAAATCACACGTGTCAAGTACTTACAATCAACATTGATAGATCTGGTTTTCTTAACTGCTCCTCTGACAGACATTTTTCTTTTGAGTTGTCTATTTCTCGTACCAGTCCTCGAAACAATCAACGAAGATGATTTGTATGATAGAGATTTGACAGAATGCTCTTCCAGATATTGCTGTACTTGGGGATTTAACTCTATATATAAAAAAATCAAAGAATATTAGTTGAATACTCGTCAATTCATCTAACGATAAAAATTTGTATTGATACTCACTGTCAGGTAACCCATCCTCGTGACATCCCAAAAAATTCAGGTTCGTTATACAACTTGTACTCAAGAAATCGTTCAGATTGCCTAGTGTCACTCTAGTGCCATTGATGTAACCAGAGTTGAGTTTTTTCATTGTTGTTATCATTGCGAGAGGCAATTTTCCGTCCTCTAAAAATTTTAACCTCCAGTAATATAAGACTAAGTAATGATGTATAGCTTGATTTATCACCAGGTGTAAATGTCAAAGATGTGTTCATGATTCAAAAATGAACAAAATTTTTAATCAAAATCTCTACAGGTCGTTTCAGAATCAACTGGAATATCGACTGGGAAGTACAAGTAACTTATATATTCACCCAATAATTAGATTGGATGTACTTACTGAAGTTCCAAATTTGGCAATAGAGATTGTGGAAGTACTAACTGAACTAAATTATCTTCTAAAAGAACAATTCATTTAGGCCAGTCTCAATTCACCTACATTGTAGGTTAATGGACTGACGACACCTATCAGAAAACAACTACTTCCCTGGCTAATAACATGTAGGACGTTGGATTATATCCGACAGGTGTCAGTACAGGATTTTTCACAGAAATAATTCTTGCATATGCTGTTAATTGGTAGCTGTGTATCGCCAGTTTTCAAGTATGCCCCGTACTATATGTGAGATGTCTTCCTCGTTCACGGGCAGATGGGGCGATGACAAATAAGTTGTTTGTCGTTCGCTTTAGCCTAGTTCGAGGAATGATACTCAGTAATTCGATTTTTAATTACGGGAAATCATCGACTTCATGTTGATGATGGACACAGGCCAAATGGCCTGTCACCGATCTGCAAGTGTGTTCCAATAATTGAAAATCGATTCTGGTGGATATATCGCCAACAGCATACGCAGGTGTGTGGAGAATTCTGCACTGACACCTGTCCAATATAATCCAATGCCCTTCATGGTATTAGCCAGAGGAGCAATTGTTTTCTGATAGGTGTCAGTTTATTAACCTACAATGTAGGTGAATTGAGACTGTCCTGAACGAATTGTTCTTTTAGATAATTTGATTTACAGCCAGTTTTCTTATATGCCCCGTTATTATATGCTAAATGAACCAGCTGGTAAGTTGCCCATTATACCTTATCAGCTAAACTTAGCTGGCATCTCCCTAAATCCTTTATGCATGGGTGAAATACCTTCTATAATATTTATTACATTTATTGCTAGTAGAGAAAATAATCCCATGTTCAAAAATGCGACTCGAAAGAGGTTTTACGTCAAAATTGATGATCCAATCCAATTTTGCATAACCAATAACAACTTTGCTTGAAAATGATCAGAACATGTTTTGAGGAATTGTAAATATCCCAAGAATTTATTAAGTGATGTCTCAGCCTAATAATCGAGATTACGGAAAAGTTTCAAATGCTATTGAGAAGGAACAATGACGTATAGTTGAGAGAGCATGACAGATTAGAAAATTTTGTTCATCCACTGGAACATCTATAATCCATGCACTAACTTGGTTCATAATCTCTTTTCAACAAAATAACTGTAATTCAATGATGATAGATAAAATAAACTATTTTCAAAACAACAACAAAAGCGACTGACATGACTTTTAAAATCCATGTGTTGCAATATAATAAACCTGGCACTAATTGAAGCTGAAATTGACTGATAGAGACATCTCTGATGAAATGAAGAACTAGCCGACACAACTCTCTGAACTTGAGAGAATTTTAAAATACCAAAATCAGAATGTTCTAGGAATTTGGGAAATTTAAAACTTTCAAATGTTTTAAAATTGATCTAGTATTTCAAGATTCACTTGAATTGAAACGGCATTTTTGTCTTCAGTTGTGGTAGAAGCCTTTGTGGTATTCATACCAATTCTGATTTCAATAATATTCAAATTATTAGAACTTTACTATAGCTTTCATTTTACGATTCTTATATTCCAGATGAATTCTGAAACAATGTACATTTGAACGACACACCAGTGTAAATCAAGACAAAATAAAAAAATAATCAAAATGGTTAATACATTGTTAATAGCTAGTCCTCAACCCAACATGCAAAATTTCGGTGAATGAATACGAATATAAATGGTATGTTAAAAAACTAGGAGGAATCTTTACACTGAAACAACAATTAACCAACGAGACACTACTTCAAAGACCTTTTTGTATTCAAAGCAAATAAAGAAAGCGAGCTTTATCGAATAAATGAGGTATGTGGTGTGATGTTTTAGTCCAAGTTTATGTCGTGATAGCTGACGATGTTAAAATAAATATCCAATTATTTTCCTCAATATAGACTGATATTTTCTACTCCATCTTGAAAAACTACAAAAATATGTTGAAATCAAGTATCTTGACGTAGTTGTTGCCTTTGAATATTTCACTTGTAATATAATACATCAATACTACTTAAAACAATTACAGGACTTTATCACAAATATTGAATTTAACGTGAATCATAAATAGAACATAGTTTTCAGAATTGCTGCTATTTAGCTTAGTAAAAAAAATGAATTGAGAAGACATTTGTCAGCGACAGTCAAACTCTTTTCTTACAGATTCTTGAAACATTGAGAGTAAAGATATATTTTACAACACAACACAATTTCTTGTCGGATTAGAAATTTTCATGTGAGGAAAAAATTTGTCCGTTAAGTGAGTTTATTGAATTATATTATAGATATTTTCAACATTGAAAAAATTCAATAACTTCTGATTTGAAATTTCTCTAGATACTCCATAGAACATGAAATTCTCTTTTCAAAGATAACTGAAAAAGCAATTTGTTCTCTAGATGAAAACATTACATGTTTTGTAAAAAATATAGCAACAAAGGAAGAAATTTGTATTTTTAATAAAAACTTTGACAGTTTTTTTTTGTAATAGAAACTGACCACGTTTACACGGCATCCTAAAGGAGGATTTTTAATATGTTGTTTCGAAAGTTTTGTCCGTTACAATGTCATATGTTTTAGTAGCTCCATATCGCAATAAATATTTATTCTGTGCCGTGGTATATAACATTAATAATATTTATTAAGTTGGATCATCTATAGATGACATTGAGTATGTCATAAAGTGTGCGAATACAAAATTAAGAATACAAATTCCGTGTACTTAGAGGCACAATATATAATTTACATAGATAATATAATATACAATAGTCAAAACCTAAAATAATCTACTATTTATGCAACATGCTATTTATCGTTATTAAAATCGGACTAAAATGTTGAACATGTACATACTACATAAATGTCAAAACCAAATATAGTGTTATTTATGTAACAGCATCGTTATTAAAATCTTCCTAAAATGTTACACATGTAGAGGCTCATAAGTTATCATCCATATATTCTTTGAGAGAATATTAGGATTTATCCAGGAGCAACTCTTTGATTTGATAGTTATACTGTTTTAGACCCAGATTTTTTATTGTACTATGGCACTTCCAACTGTAGGGAATTTTTAGTATTATTACCATCAAGAGTAGGAAAACTAGTTATGTGCGATTTTACATATTTTAATATCTCATAAATGTATATACTTGTAACAGTCAATATTCTGAAATTTTGGAAGATGAGTTTGCAACTTGTCCTTCTAGTAACTCCTGCTACATACCTTATGGTTCTTTTTTGAATTTTGAGTATTCTGGAACAATCACTAGATACTTCGCAAGCTATAATACCATAGGAAATGTTACAATGAAAATATGAATGGTAGTACATTATTAAGAGTGATCTATTTACATTCCAGCGTAGTTGTTGAATACAATAAGATATCTTTTTACAAATTGTATCAATATGTTTGTTCCATTTGAGATTTTCTGTTATCTTCAAACCCAAAAATTTTGTCTCCTCTTGTTGTTGAATTGATCCATTATTGATGTTACTAGTAAACTATGATCTGTAGTGGTTCTTGAATGATTAAAACATAAAATTACAGTTTTTATTTCATTTAACAAGAGACCATTGTCTGAGAAGCACTTTTGGGTTATTTTCATTTCATCAGATGCTTTATTAACTGTGGCTTTAATATTTTCCTGAGTTAAATATAAAGATGCGTCATCAGCATACATAACGAACTGATCATTAAAAAAATCATTTACATATATTATATATAAGAGTGGACCTAATGTAGAAACCCTGAGGAACTCCGAGGTTTCCTCAGGGTAAGGAATCGTGCGACAGCTGAATGGCCGCAGGGTGATTTGCGTTTACGAACGATCCATTTGGGGAACCAGGGGAAACCTCATTATAATCAACCTTCCCCTAGTAATGCGGGGTTCTGCCAGAGGTGACCAACTCTTCCCTTGCTAATCGAGGGAACACACATATATGAAACAGACACAACAAAAACCAATCCCGGGGCTGGACAGAAGTGCTCACCAGCGGCGGCTCGTCAGAGGTGGCAAGGGAGGCTTAGCCTCCCCATAAAATTTGAGGCTATTCATCGCAATAAATTAAAAGATATTAACAAACAATTATGATTATTTTTTTTTTAAAATGCTTGGGTATCATTACCATTAATTTTCAATACAAATACATGATATGCCCGAAAAAACACTATCACTCATTACGTAGTACGTACCACACTGTATCCTGCATCAACAAAACTCAAACGCACCGCCAATGAACGAATAACGAATAAACCATCAACCCGAAATAATAAATGACATACGTTACAAGGGAGCCAAGCCTCCGACCGCTTTAAAAAACACAGGCTCCACGAGACCGATCCAACCAGCGACATACGTCCCGATTTGTAATTTTAGTTGCAGAAATTATAGCGTTAGAGGCGGCTAGCCTCCACTTGGTCTCCGTTAGTCTGTATTATTTTATTGACTAAGAAGAGTTCATTTACAAATTTTACAATAAATAACATAAAGACAACCCTTTTTCCTTGTTTTTGTTTTTTTAATGGTCAGTTTTATACGTATAATTTTCGGCAATACTCAATTTTTGTTTGCATTTATGAAAATATTACGTTTTTTGCTTTAAATAGGTGCGGTACCCCAAAAAATGTTCGCGCCTCCGGCGGGCTTTTATGTGTGTATATAGTCTTTATGACTTTAGCCTCCCCTGTTCTCCAATGCATGAGCCGTCACTGTCGGTTGTTATAACAACTGATGCTCATGTAAATGTGGTCAGTAATATTTTTCGAAAGTATAACATCAAACTGTATCATTTTTTGTACATATACCTTAGTCTTATGTGATTCTACAGTAAAAATGAAAAAACTTCTCCAAGAAACCAATCTACTACGAACATTACAATATTCTGTGCAATTATTACCTAAATGATTTTTTGTAGCAACAACAGTTATCGTCGGCCTCCCGAGCATGTTTCGCCAATTCATTGTTAAGAAGGACAAGTGTGCAACCACTTTGTCAGCCAATAGGGCGATGTCGTAGCTGGTGTAGTACTCTTCGAGGTCAAGGTTCTAATACAAACAGGAACAAAAACATGCAAAATACACCACATACGTGACTGACTTCACTTCAGTCACATACGTGACTGAACTGAAGAATCACCGGTTAGTAAATCCCCAAAACGTCCATTCACAACAATTAAAAACTTTCTGGACGATATTTTTGAAAATTCATACATACTTATAGTAGTCAATTATTCAAAAATGGTGGTATTCTATTGTTTTCACTGATCCTATTTATTATTTACCATATTTTCTTTTAGTCTCACTCAAATGGTAAAACGTTCATGTAGGTATATAATAAAAATTGTTTCTTTAATTTATTCTTGTTATGAAGACACCATCTGTGATACCAAAAATTGAACACCCTTTTCCTGAGATGAACCAGAGTGCCTGAAGACAATCTGCTGCAAATCCGAACTTCAATATAGACAGTGTAATATACAGTGTGTAAAAGCCAAATGGAATAATTTCATTATTTCGGTTACGGTACATATTTCAGCAAAATTCCAAAACACGTCAAATTTAAATTATAATTTGACATACTTCAACGGAAAAATGCCAACACTACCTTCAACCCCCGTCGAATGACAGGTACAACCTCTAATTTTTTAAATGGGAAGTATAGGCTTGGAAAATAACGTTTGAAGGGTCTCTTCATTCTCTATTCAAAAATGTTATCGTTTTCAAGTTTATTGCAACAATTAAGATAAAGTAAATTAAAATCATGTGGTTACCGAAAAACGTTAAAATACACTCAAAACTTATTACAATATACTCAAAACTTATTTTATTTTGAGGTATTGATAATAAGAAAGTAAGCAAAAACCATAGCTATGTTCTTTTTATATGGTATCCTTTAAAAAACTGTAAATAATTTCCGTGGCAACGTTAGTTTAAAAACGACTTGTCAACTTGTTTTGTATGTCACAACATTAGTTGTCAGTATTTTGATTTTAGTTTAAAGTTCGTTAACTTCAAGTCTTACAAATGGTTAGATCAACTGAAATGCGTAAAATAAGTTTTTCAAATGATTGGTTACGGAGATAAAACCCAAACACAACAGGAAGTACCTCGCCTATTTCATGAGAAATTTCCTAATTTACCGCCCATATCTCAGGATCGATAAGCAAAATAAAGAAGTTTCGCAAGCTTGGTAGTGTGGGGCAGATAAAAAAAGCAGCTGCCAATGCAATGAGTTATAAACTTAAATTAGATGTGATGCTTGAGTTTGAGGAAAACCCACATACATCGAGTAGACAGGCATCCACTACATGCAATATTAGCCAGGCATACAGTAACTGAAATAATAAATGAATTTGGTCGGTCGGTAGCCAAACGGTTCGGCGTGGGTGCTTTGTTCACTCACTCGAATTGACTGCCATGTTGGTCGGTGGTTCAAGCCCCAGTCTGAACGATTGATCTTCACTTGCTACCCAACCTGTGTTAGGAATCAACACGTTAAAAGGTAAGACCTCGTTAATCCTTAGCTCGCACAAGTTTCGACTTCTGAGGGTTGTCGTTCGTAGGGGTGCGACAGCTGGTTAACGGAAAAACAGATTTTAAACAGACAGATTCCATCTGGCTTTTACACACTGTAGAAAAATCACTGTCTATGGAAATTTGTTACAGAAGTTTTTCGATACTATTGAAATAATCATTTGAAAAGTATGAGAAAATTGTAGATATTCGAATTTATGAGGAGAAACACTTTGGGACTTCTCAGAAGGCAGTTCTAAATATTATTTAAATTTCCAAGACGTAATATCGAAGATGATGTGAGATGTTCAGGCCAAATTAGATCAATAATTGATGTTCCAGATTATGTTCTGTTTTCGAGTTCATTAGCAACGGCCAAAGCGAAAATGGGACTAGATGTCGGATGGCCAAGCTATCCTGTACACTCCTGAAATACTTAATGGATTACTGACTTCTTTGGCTGGCACAAGACTATTTTCTATTGTTCAAGTAGATTCAGCCTGCATGAACATCTGACAACCTTAATATCAATCAATCAACTGGAATGTCTTCAGTATGCCATCACGGCTACCATAAACGATATTCCAGAAGATGGTCCCCAGTTAGTCTCACAGATCTACGAGACTAACCTTTGCGAGGTATCTTGCATAAATGTCTGTCGGATATAAATCAATATCCAGCGTGATATTAGCCAGCGAAGTAGTTTTTTTCGGCAGGAATTTACCAAGACCTACTGTGTGGCTAGTTGGGAGAGATGAATGTTTTAAAATTTCATTTCAAAATATCAATTATTTTGTATACCTCCATAATTTTACTTATTTTATACCTTAGATAGATATAAGGAATCCTTGTCCGTGGATCAGAGGTTTAGCATATTCACCTTTTATATTTTGTATAATTTATGTTACTAACTTATTGAATCCTTGTCAAAGTGTGAAGAGGGAGAAAATAAATATCTATCTATGGTCACCATAACTATGACATATAAGGATGACTTCGTTAAAAACTGAAACACAACTTGTGATTACAATTTTATAAGAGATTTTCAAAAACTAAATCCAAAACCCAGTTCATTCACGCACTCCCAAATTCAAGAAACAGTTGCAAGATTATTATTTTGGAAGCAATATATTGTTGCAGTGATGACAGCTGTAATCACAGAATATATGCAATGGTGATCAAGGAATTTACCCACCCCACTACTTTTTCACAACAAAACAAAAATTATGGACTCATTGAACAGTTACCAAATAACTTTAAATATTCATGTGGCTGATAATCATCAACTTTTGTAACATTCAGGAGTTTATAGGAGTTCTGAGAATAAGATTTTCTAAATTTAGAAATAAATTGTACTGGAGCTGGTTACCCTGAGTATTGTTATAATGAGACAATTTGATGACATAACAGATCTTGAGAAATTTTTGAAAAATATAAAATACTTTTGGTGAACAATAAACTAAGTGTTGTCACAAACTTTAAACTTGAAATTTAATGTACTCTGAAATACTCATCTCTACAACAAAGACTCACCTAGTATAAAATTACATTTCAACAGAATACACCCTGACATGATTTTTGTTGTGCCAAAAAATAGTTTTTAATGAAAAAATTCAGTGTAGTAAATTTTTCACTCCCTTGAAAATATTTAGGAAAACTGTAAAAAGTAGCGGAAAAAGTATATCCCTCATAGTTTGAACTCGCACAAAGTCTTGTTAGCTTTCCAAAGAAATAATATTCCGACAATGAAGTACCTAGATGCAATCTTCGGCAAACCACAGTCACCAATGGCCTGCCCAACATATTCTGCCAACTCGACTTCAAAAAGTTTAGTTCGCCCTTGCAAATATCTATCATCAGTTCGTAATCCGTTGCCGTGTAATTTTGAGACATGTCCGTGAACTGAATAATCATATAAGTTAAAAAAATAATCAAGAATGATGAAACACATTCACTGGCATATTGTGGCTTTCAAATAATAAACTGTTGAAAAATTCACTTCCAGTAATTCATTTCTAGTAATGAAAACTTGTAAGGTGACACCTTCAAAACAGTATTTAGTTCTCTGAAAAATTTTGAGGAAATTAAAAGTTCAGTATGTAAAAAAAAAGGAGTGGCAAATGAATAAAAGTCCGTAGAATGCAATTGTGAAAGAGTGTTATTTAAAAAAATTTGTGGAAAGTGACCTGGAATTAGTTTGAGTTGTATCTCTGAAAGAAGACTGGAGCATGAAGTTTCAACTTCAGTCTAATGAAAAATGTTTCAAAAAACAGCACTAGACGGACATCTAATATTCATTGACTTCAGATTGAAATTGGACTACTGTCTTAACAACACATTTCAAAATTCAGATGGTGATTCAAACCTGTAATACAGCCTGGCACTTCTGTGCTTCATCCGCCAGGACGTGAATGATACTGTAAGGACCCCCTCGAGCACCAAACAAATCAAGCTCATTCATAGCTTCTAGTGCAGCCTTAGCCATACCGATGGAACTAGCATTCAATTCAGGCAACCCGTGGTTCGTCTTGTCACCTCTTTCCCATATCCCATAGTCTGGAGTGCAATAGGCACACTCAATATAAAAAACCAGATTCTGAATAAACGCTACCTCTTTGAGACATGTCCGTGAACTGAATAATCATATAAGTTAAAAAAATAATCAAGAATGATGAAACACATTCACTGGCATATTGTGGCTTTCAAATAATGATGTGTATGGGAGGAGCAAGCTACAGGCATGACATGTAACAATTCGAAATAATTGTGTTTAATATTAACAGCATATCAAGATGAATATGAAATTAACATTTCACCACAAGTCAATAACTTTCAGAATTGGAATCTGTTACCATAATTCATATTGAGTTGGTTGACACTTAATTTTTTTAATTTGGATAATGACTCGCCTTGGCACATCGCAAAGAGATAGCTATACAAACGAAAGTCTTCGGCAATGTCTTAGATTTAAGGACAATTAATCATATGTCACTATTATTTGACAATGTAACACTTTCACTGTACTGTTTCTACGATTTGAAGTGTTTTATACTACACAAAAAGTTGTTTTCACAACTAATAAACTATAGGAATTTCACATATCACAGTAAATACATTTTATTTCATGAAGATGAATTTTATCCTCAAATTGGGAGTGTCCCTGATTTATAACTGGATTATTCGAAATGCCAGATATCGAAGTTGGTAAATGGAATATACAAAATAATGTTTTTATAGAATCATCAATGGAGTGCTGAAGATTTTTATGAAATTGATCCAAAATCGTAATTTGTTGTTACTTTTCAGTGAAGATTATAAATAGAAGCTTTATTAAAGAGGCTCATAAGTTATCATCCATNCGACCTTAAATGAAATTAAATTAAAGGATTAAGTAAAACTGTGAGAGATATAAAGTCAGTTGAATTTTCAAAAAGCAAAACCCATTTCATGGCTTATTCAAATAATGTAAAATTTCCTTAGTGAACAATTATAGTGACACATCAGTAAAGTTGTCGCCAAAAAGGCTTACCTACACCAGTTGATTTTTTTCGGTACATATAAGTGGACTGTTCAAAAAATAAGGTAAATATTCAAATTTCGCGGGCTTTCTAAATTCGATTCACGATTTTTTTATGTTGGTACATTCGCCTCGAACATATTTTCACAGTTTCATTTATTTAGCATATTTTGTTTGTGGGTGAGAGGCATAAAAATTAGAAGAAATATGAAACTGCTCCTGATGAAAGTCCAACAAAATATTAAGTGAGCAGTTTGATTTCATTGGGCCCTGTACAAGATATTGACACTGTCACTGCAAAATGTCAAAATTATAATTTATGAATTTTGGCGCCAACTGACTGCTTTTATCCTTTGATCAGCGACCTTGATCCTACAATATTTTGTACATTAACAGAAAGGATAAATATATTTGATAATGTAATACACTACAAAATTAAACACAAAAGGATCAACTACGTTTAAAATAATATCAACCAAGCCCAAAAAAACAGTTAAAAAAACATATGATACAAACAAACTGACACGAATAACATTTGCTGCTGCACATTCTCTTCAGAGTAGCAGATAAGGTACTGAATAAGAAAAGGATGTTTCGGAAAATGAAGTACGATGGATGGGAATAAAAAATCTATCATTTATCTTCCTCACTAATATGTTGGGTAGTCTGGTAGCCAATATCTTATTAACAAGACACACATAGTGAACAAAATGTGTTTAAAAAAGAGTGGGAGCGAATACCGAACCCTGAGGTACGTCATGTTTCACAATATGAGTGTCTGAAGTGTCTGTTAGGTGGTCATTTACACTGACAAATTGTGATTGGTTGAAAAGATAGGATTTAAGCTAGTCTGAAATTCGTCCATTAAACCCATAGTAATGTAGTTTGGCGATTAGGCAGTCAAGATTGACAATATCAAAAGCCTTTGACATATCCACTAGCTTTCCTGGTTGATTCGGCCGTTTGTGAAGATCAAATCGTGAAGTGTAATTTATGAAATATCCAATAGTTTAGAAGATACCACTTCTTGGTTGTCTAGGGCCACGGAGAAATCGTAATATGAACTTTACAGAAGCCTGACTCGTTTGAAGGTAGACTATACTGTTCTTTGATGACTCCATCAGCAATTCTGAGGGGTACAGTTATGAGATTTATAATATGAAGATCACTGAGGCTATTTACTTTTGCAGAGGGCTACTTAGGGATAGGTTTAACAACTGATGTCTTCCACTGCTGGGAAAACACAACCTGTTTCAAATGATGAATTGATTATATGTGTGAGGGACAAAAGACAGTTGAAGCTTTTTATCTGAGATTTTATCAGGTCCTTCAGTATGGGGTTTCTGCTTCATCAACAAATAGTAACACTGTTCGACATATGACATTTATTTTTAGCAGTTATAGCGTCAATGTTATAAAAAGAAATCAAGAAAAACAAGAATCAAATTTAGTTGCAATTAATAACTACTGCAGATTACCAATGCTCAATTCGTAATTTGTTGTTACTTTTCAGTGAAGATTATAAATAGAAGCTTTATTAAAATATTAGGCCGTTTGAAGTAAATAGATTAGAAATAATTAAATGAAAATAAAAAATCAATTGATCGAAAAGTGTCTTCTGATTTTAATATTAGGTTGTTCAAAAAGTTTTGCCGTTTTGATGCCATGTGTTTTTGTAGCTCCATAAGTCAATAAATATTTATTATTTTGTGTGTCATGGTATATACTGATCGATAAAGAATTTTGTACTCTGTTCTACTACTAGTTAAAACATATACAACCTAAATGAAGTCGACCTTAGACTGACCCCTGCATCATCGCCATCGCACTGAGATTTTATGTTGAAAAAATCTGTCGAAAATTGTGCAAGTTAGGAATTAGCGAGGCCTTACCTTTTAAAGTGCCAATCATATCGAATGATTGAATGAATAGAACGAACCACTGAAGCTAATTCAACTGTGTTTATAATGATTAATAGATTGCAAAGAATGGTTTCAAAATTGATTGATGTAATGAAAATAAGTGGCAATGATAATAATAATTCTCATTATATAATTGAATTTTGAATTTTAACAATTCATGGAAACGTAAATGATATAAACGATTGTCCAGTCGCTTCAACTAATAATTGAAAGGTAAACTCTTCACATGGCAATAAACACATTCCAAATGAATATTTCTTATATGTAATTCCAATATCTATATTTTGTGACAGTAAACTGTCACTATTAATGGAAAAGAAACAGATATCAACCTATAGCTAGGTACTTTGACAGCTGTCACAGTACTCTGAACCTAATTTGCACAAAATTTGTCTCAGAAAGCTCAGCTGACAGTGATTGTGTTTCAAGAAAAAGTGAAACAAACTTCAATTAGTCCCTGGTAAATTAATAAAATGCTAGAGAAATATGAGTTACTGACATATTATAACAAAAAATATCACTTGGTTATTTCATTCTCAAAAGTTGGCCATTTTGATAAGTAGAACTTGCCTTCTGTCATTATATGAATCTACTGGAAGCACTTATTCTACACCAGAAGAAAAATACTGTATCACACCATGCGTTTCCCTAACTAAGTTAGCATCATTAGGAAATGACTAGGACTCTCAGTCATTTCCTGATGATGCTAACTTGGTTAGTGCAGCACAAAGTAGGCTACCAAAAAGGATTGAAGCTGTTTTTATTATTATATCTGTGCTTTGCCTTTATAAACACTAGCTATTTACCCTTTCGAAATCATTTAATTTTATCCAATTATATATTGACTTTTTGAAGTTTGCTTCACCATCGAGTGGTACAAAATTCCATGTTGCAACTCACCTGAGGAGTGAAAGCGAATATTTTATCCCCCAATGAGTAAAGTTTACTAGTGGACAAAATTCCAACATCACGTGACTTTCTTCCAGACAAACCCAGTTTTTTGTTACGACCTTAAATGAAATGAAATTAAAGGATTAAGTGAAACCGCGAGAGATATAAAGTTGGTTAAATTTTTATAAAATAAATAATAATATCAACCAAGCCCAAAAAACAGGTAAAAAACATATGATACAAACAAACTGACAGGAATAACATTTGCTAACATTTATTGAATTCTGCTGCACATTCTCTTCAGAGTAGCAGATAAGGTACTAAATAAGAAAAGGATGTTTCGGAAAATGAAGTACGATGGATAGGAATAAAAAAATCTATCATTTATGTTCCTCACTAAACTGTTGAGTAGTCTGGTAGCCAATATCTTATTAACAAGACATGCATAGTGAACAAAATGTTTCATCAAATTTTAAAAGTTACAATTCCCTAATGTGGAAGGTGATATGTACTTGAGGGAGAACAGCCTTTTATGAAACGAATGCACAGATTTTGAATTTTTTGCAAAGGACGTGCACCCTTCATGGGAAAACAAGGTCCATAAAGTATGTCACTTTAGAGAACAAGATAGTTGTAAAGCCTTTTTTAGCGGAAGTGTTTAAATCCCTTTTGTAGAGGAATAGTTTTTTCAAGGCTTAGGTAGGTTCTCTTCGCGATAACACCAAATTCTTTGGGGAATTTGAGCTGTTGAACAAAAATAACACCAAGACATTGTAGTTTCAGAGACAGTAAGAATAAATTTGTTGTCAATACATTCAGGGAACTCATCAAGGCGTCTTATGTTGCAGGATGACCCTATAAGAATATTTTGGCTTTTTGCTGGGATTAGGAGTAGGGAGTTTCCTCGGTCCACCTCTATATGGTTGTAAGATTGTAGTTTATTTTTATCAGCGTATCAATTTTTTGAAAAGGCTGAAAGTTCAAGTAGACAGAGTAGGCTAACACATGCAGATTACAATTTTCCATTAACTGCTGCGAGTTAGATGTAAAAAATTTAAAAAAGAGTGGAAGCGAATACCGAACCCTGAGGTTCGTCATGTTTCACAATACGAGTGCCTGAAGTGTCTGTTAGGTGGTCATTTACACTGACAAATTGTGATTGGTTGAAAAGATAGGATTCAAGCTAGTCTGAAATTCGTCCATTAAATCCATAGTAATGGAGTTTGGCGATTAGACAGTCAAGTTTGACACTATCAAAAACCTTCAACATATCCAATAGGTTTCCTGATTGATTCGGTCGTTTGTGGAGATCAAATCGTGAAGTGTAATTTATGAAATATCCAATAGTGTAGAAGATACCACTTCTTGGTTGTCTAGGGCTACGGAGAAATTGTCTGTCATAGAACTTAAGGCCGAAACAGTAATATGAACTTTAAGAAGCCTGACTGGTTTGAAGGTAGACTATGCTGTTCTTTGATGACCCCATCAGCAATTTTGAGGGGTACAGTCATGAGATTTATAAGATGAAGATCACTGAGGCTATTTACTTTTGCAGAGGGCCACTTAGGGATAGGTTTGACAACTGATGTCTTCCACTGCTGGGAAAACACAACCTGTTTGAAATGATCAATTGATTATATGTGTGAGGGACAAAAGGCAGTTGAAGCTTTTCACCTGAGATTTTGTCAGGTCCTTCAGTATGGGGCTTCTACTTCATCAACAAATAGTAACACTGTTCGACATATGACATTTATTTTCAGCAGTTATAGCGTCAATGTTATAAAAAGAAATCAAGAAAAACAAGAATCAAATTTAGTTGCAATTAATAACTACTGCAGATTACCAATGCTCAATACTTAGATATTTCAATTAGCCTTCACTTGGGATACACTTCATTTTAAATAATTAATTGAATAATTAATATCTCATTACTTTACCTAAATAGGTATATAAATGAGAAAGCACTCTGGCGGGCTGTACTTCAATCGGGGCAACATCCGCTATAGTTTGAACATGAATATCATGCTCGGCTAGCTTATCTTTAACTTCGTTATCTTCAGCTAAGATCACAACTTGCACCACAACATCAGGTTTTTTCTCAGAACACAATCGCCTGTTCAGAGGGTCCAGTTCTCCGGGTGCCAAAAAACCCTAGGAATGATCATGAAATCAACCAAGTTTGTTTTGTTTTCTATTGTGTAAACTTACTTCTTGTAATAACTTCCCTACAATAAATAAGGACTGAGCCCAAAGAAACGGACACTGGCCTAAAGGTATACGTTGCTGACTGCCAGGTTCTTTGTATTCTGCTGCTGCAAACTCTGCGGGAACTGAATACAGTTCTGGCACCAATCTCATACCCTCTTCAGTTCTGATCATAATCTACAAATAATTGATTGAATGAAATACTGAAAATTTTTAATGTATTTCTATGATGCTTGAAGCAAAAAATATCTGCCTTGCTTTGAATGAAAAAATCAAAAATAACAATAACTTGACATGTTGGGCTAGGTTATTGTATTGTATTGATGTTCTTTTAGTTCACTAGCATTATAATAATAACAACTTTAATGTTTTGATTGACTTCCGGATTTTGCCTGGACACATCAAGAAGAGTACTTCAACCACGCCACTGAAGATGACTGCCGCAGTTGTAGTTGCAAAGTTTGGAGATTATAACCAAAGAAGACCATGGCAAAATCCAGAAGCCAATCAAAACATTGACGCCAGCGTGAAAGCCTACTTTAATATTTATTGAAGTCATCAAATCTACAAGTCACAATCTGTAAAATATGTTTCAATGTATTGAGCTCAAATATTTGTGAACCAAAATTAACAGTGACATATTGGACAAATAACAAGAGAGATTCAACAGGTTTCAAGTTCAAATGAATGCATGCTTCCAATAGATTACAGGGAGAAAGTTGAATAATTTGATGACTCTGTACTCAGCCCCACTTTGAAATAAAGCTATTCCACATTAGGTGGTATTGTTAATCCATTATTTGTTCAGCTTTCCAACAGAATTTGAAACATGCCTCTCAATAGATAAATTTTGGTCAATCTCTATTCCTAAAAATTTTGGAAATGGGTGAACCAGAGCAGATTTTGAGCCAAGTTCCACTAACATAGAATTCTGGTTCAAGTTGGTTACTAGATTGAACCACAATTGTTTACCAACAATCAGGCCAAGGTTGTTGGTACAAGAACACCAGTCTAACATCTCATTTGCCAATTTTGTTGCCTTGGCTGCTACAAGCAAGACATATTGGCAAATTGATGAAGTAATGGTGATGATAAACTTTGAGGTATGTCATTGACACGACAAAAAAAAAAGCAGAGGGGCCTAAATGGATCTTTGGGGTACACCCACTTTGATTTTTATAGTGGCTGAGTAGAATTCTTGAAGTCTACCATTGATTTTAAATTTGAAAAGTACGTGTTGCCTCCTTTCTGTCAAGGATACACCTCCGACACCATACATTTTACCGAGAACTTCATTGTGACTGGGGTGCCACATTGGTCAATATGACTGAGACAGTTCAATCACGTCCTGCAAACCAATTGCTCAGTACTCATCAATATAGACTGACCGAGTTGGCCGAAAATAAAGGTTGCAATAGTCCAGTTTTAAAGGTATGACTTTTATATCCAGAAAAATTGAAAAGTATTCTTTATCAACAGAATATTTCAATCTAAAACATATTTCACAAATGACCACCGTAGACAACTAACATGACTTTTAATGAGTGTGTGTATCTAGGCAATTGTTCATAGTTCTGACCAAAATGGTGACCATGTTGGGGTAGACTATGTCAAGTATTGAAATGCACTGGTTCGATCTATTTGAGGAAGATATATTTTGGCAAATATTGAAGTAGAAATAAGGAATTTTGAAAAATGTTAAGTATCTCTGCACATTTTTGGCCAATGTGACAAAACCCATATTGGCATGAACATATCAATATCGGTTTCAATACTACAGCAGGCAACATGTTGAAATAAAATGTATAAAAATTCATGACTTTCAAGAGTATTCATCTTAAGGATTGAACCACATTTACTTACCTCTTCCATTTGCTTGGTGTATTTAGCTGCAATTTCTTTATTTCCTCTAAAGCAATTATCCAATATTAAATAACAGAAGAACAATGGCCATTCACATTCAATATTTTCAAACATTCTCAACTCCCACGGTTCATAATATAATCTTCTTGGGTCCTGGAACAAGTAAATTTTCAATCTATAAGAGCATATTTTTTGTTTGTAACACAGTCAAATCTTTAAAGAATATGTAAATTTTCTTAAATTTGTAGCTATTAACTTTTGGTTAACAAAATATATATTTCACCTGGAAATTGGCGAATTTAACAACATAATTAAACTTTGTTGCTATTTTCAGTATATTTTAAGCTGTTCCTCTGATAAACAATGAAAGAAATAGATCCATAATTGAACTTTGGGAAAAAAACAAAATTTTCCATCTACATTTTCGATACAATATAGCAACCTCGAAGTATGCTTATGCGCCCTGCTTCATACAAATTATGCTTCATTGGATTGTCTTGAATCGTTTTTGTATTCACAAAAACAGTATACCATTATTAAACGCCAAAGTAAAAACTGTTTGACGAATATTTGATGTAAAAGTGAATTTAGGAGTTCCCAAGGGTTAATCGTTGGGCACTATTCTCTTCATAAATGATCTCGATAATTTACACACTGAGGCCCACTTCATTTCATATGCTGATGACACTTCCGTTATAGTCCCAAACACACCGATGAGAGATAATACCTCGAAACCGGTCTGTAACTGATCTTCTCGATTTTTTTAAGCATGGTTCTGCTGTTCAATAGTAGACCATATTCACTAACTGAATTGACCATAGTAGTTTCCTCAGATGAAACCTGGTTATGAGTTCGAATAAAACCTAAATATTCATAAATTTCAGAAGTGACTACATAATTACATATTTGAATATATAACTACCTCTTTGGGAGTCTTATAACCGTCTCTCAAGAATCTCTTGCAACCGTATTGACCTTGAAGTTTTTCAATGATGCAATCTCTTGTGTATTCAATTAAGGATGGATCATCCACAGCAAAAGCTGGAAAACCAATCACAGATAATAGTCCACTGTCGATTTCTTTTGAACTGGATTCTCTAGGTAGCATCGACTGCAAAAAAATTATTTTATATTGACTTAATACGACAAAAATGATGATATATTGATTAGTATAGCATCAAATATGATTAGTAATACATTTATTCATCAATCTATCTTGAAGTTCTCAGCTTCCACAATCTGCAAAAAATAAAAATTGTAATGGATCGTACGTGGCTATCCGTCATGAATAAAGATAAAGAAAGTGGAAAAATTAAAAGAGAATAAATAATATCAGAAAGCACTACATTGAAAATTTGCAAAGTCGAACTACATAAACATATTTCATATTTCAAAATTTCTTTTTATATTTTTCAACGAAGTTTGAAAAGGAATCAAATCAAAGAAGGAAAATAGCATAGTTGATTTTTTCAATTTTTGAGAACTGGAGGCAGATTTTGGCTTTAAAAAAATTAATTTGGGTTCCTGCACAATACTTAGCAGTTTTTCTAAAAGGCAAGGTTATGAAATGCAAGTTTTCCATTGTGAAAAATAAATTGTATTAGCAGATCAAGATGTATACGGGTAAATTAGAAATTTCTTCATTACAATTGATTTTTTTTCATTATCTTACGTGTTGAGAATACCCAGAAAGATTAATAAAAAACTTTGATTTTCCACACGAAAAATTACGTTTGGATATCAAATCTAACACCCCAGTACTTATATTTATACATTTTTGGAATCAACAGTTCATTTTACATAGGAATACTGGAGGAAAACTTTTATTACTGTGAAAAAATACCAGTACATGTTTTTTATAAAAAATATATTACTTTTAGAAGGCTGTGACCACCTGAAATCATGTTTGACAATTTTTGCACAAGTTAAATTGAGTTATCTCATTCAATTCCATAATGAATGTTTGGAGTACAAACTGAATACAGTGGAGTCCCGATAGTCCGAAACGGTCGGGACCGGACCCATTTCGGATTAACGAATATTTCGGATTAAGCGAAATCATGACCAAAATTAATGTTATAATGGCGCAATTTTGCTGCGAAGGAGAGGTCTTCTTCTCTTCGACAGAAAAATGTAACAGACTTTTTTAAACCAATATAGTTTTGAACTACATACGCTCAAATTGTTTTCTGTTAATTACACTTATCTTTGTACATACTGTAATCCTTAGTATGTATATATTGCAATACATTTCTTCTACTTTTCTTTCGGATTAAGCGGACTTTCGGATTACCGAAGTTCGGATTATCGGGACTCCACTGTAGTAAGAAGGTATTTTTGTATAATTTTGTTCATGTGAAAGTAATTGTTTCAAATGTACTTTATCTTTTGTGTAACTCAATGTTTATGTGAAAGAAGTAGTTACAAGAAGGGTTCTTCCAGTTTGTACCTGCAAGTAACTTCTTTTGCATGATCACCACATCTTTGTAAAGAATTTATTTCGAAATTAGTTGCTCTCCTCTTTCCTTTGAAAGTTTTCCACATTTTGAAATGAAGATGGAGAAGTCGAAATACGAAACCTTTCTTTCTCAAAAATTAAACCCTTCTAAAAACATACCCCTTTCAATTTGGATGTTCATTGTCTCAAAATGTTGGTTTGTATCTCCGAAAGAAGACTGGAGCATAAAGTTTCAACTTCAGTCTAATGAAAAATTTTTCAAAAAACAGCACTAGCCGGACATCTAATATTTATTGACTTCAGATTGATATTGAAATACTGTCTAAATAACACATTTCAAACTTCATATGGCGATTCAAACCTGTAATACAGCCTGGCACTTCTGTGCTTCATCCGCCAGGACGTGAATAATACTGTAAGGACCCCCTCGAGCACCAAACAAATCAAGCTCATTCATAGCTTCTAGCGCAGCCTTAGCCATACCGATGGAACTAGCATTCAATTCAGGCAACCCATGGTTCGTCTTGTCACCTCTTTCCCATATCCCATAGTCTGGAGTGCAATAGGCACACTCAATATAAAAAACCAGATTCTGAATAAATGCTACCTCATCGAGAGTGAATATAATCTGTAAGCCCGAAGCCGTCATTTGAGCCAAAACCAGGAGATACAGAGAAATGGCATCGATTTGCAAATGTCCCCATTCGTTGTCTCCCACAACAATCTGGCCAGACACAGAGGAGTACTTTGCATGTAGAGAATCCAAGGGGTTCTGAGTTTGCTTGAACTTTTCGACTTTGTCCTTTTGTTGCATCATAGACATGAGCAATCCCCGCATCAGTTTGATACAGGTTTGTTCCAACTCATAGGTCTTCGCCCGATCTTCGTCCTGATCGGCCATTTTTTTGTAGGCCATGGAGAGTCCCCAGACCGACAAAATACAGTAGACATTGTCTCTTATCCAGGCATGATTATTGTCTGTGCTGAGTGGGAATAGGCCCGTTATTTGATTTTGGTGTTCCATAATGATTTTGTGAACCTGACGCTGGTAATAGTCCAGGCGGACCCCTGAGTTACTTCTGTTCCTCATTTTTAGCTGTATACTGATAGAAAAATTGAAATAGATATTACTTAAATTCAGAAAAACATTGCAAGATTCAAGGTTAACTGAATGGTATTGTCTACTTCTAAAATTTATTTCTGATTCTTCTTTGACGAGCGGTGTGAAATTGGCTTCTAAACAGGTGATAGAATTTCCGATTTTACCCGAAGCAGTTATAAACATCAGTGGCGTTCAAAGTTAAATTTAACAAGGCGTCTTATTTCGATCGCATAAAGAACTAGGAATCCAAATTTAACGGACGAGATGCGAATTGACAAATCTTAATTTGATTGCAAATAAAAATATCAATGAACTGTTCAGAAAATGATTTTTATTCAAACACATGAACGACAATGTGCATTAATGATAATCCAATATCCAATCCAATGCAAGCAAACTCGTGAAAAAATGTAATTGACAATACGCCTCGGAAAATTTGACATAATACACCACTGATATCTAACCGCTTCGGCTAACATCGGAAATTCTAACAGCTAGGTTTATCAGCCAACTTCACTCCGCTTCTTTGAAGCTAGTCTAGTGCATTTTACCCAGTTTCCAATTAATTGGGAGGAGCTATACAGAACACATGAACTTTTATCTTATGAGTATTAAGCTTATCAATAGCGGCTGGAAAGCTCATGCTCTTCCTGAAACAAAGTATTGTACCCTAAACAGTGGCATCGAAAAATGCGTAGGTATATCCGGAAAATGGGACAAGTTCACAGGAATATAACACGTGTTATAACATGTGTTTCAATGTGAAATAATAATGAAGAGAAATTCATTTCCATTTTTGCGGTGAAGATGAATTGTGTAATATGGTAGCAAAACCTCTAAGCGATGTAACCTGTTTGCTGGGAGCATATTGTGTATTGAGAATGTATACACATTTGGGCTCTTTGAGGGAATTTATCTAATATCGGATATGAAGACCACTACTATTGAAAATTGAAAATGTGACAATAATTACGTTTGTGATGCGAATGTTAAAAATTATTATTGACCAGCCACATCTGAAACACCCTATATTGTCGCATTCTGAGAATAATGTCATCTCATAAACTACAACCCACGATTTGATCTCCACAAACCTCATTTGAAAAATATATCACGACCTGTTTCGCTAACACAGTAGCATCTTCAACAGTGATTTGAATACTACACCTTGCTTCTTATGCTAATATATATATATATACCACAAGTAACCATAATTGGGACTACCTCCATCAAATTACCTAAACCTCTAAAATTCCCATATACCCGAGGTGCCTCTTCAATTATGATTACCTGAAGCATATTACCTCATTACTACATCAATAATGATACTTCCTTGGTTTTTTAAGAAAACAAGTTCAATAATGGTGGTCTAATCAAATCCAGTTGGTCATTAATTTGGATGTTTGAATTTTTAAGCTCAGTAATTTCCATTGCTTCCAAATTATTTAGTTTCAAACCTTTATTTTCTATGTGTAAAATTTCGAGCTCTTCGTTGAAGATATGATTTTCTTCTAAAAGGTGATTTGAATATGTTGAACTTGTTTTCTTATT